AGAAATTATAACTATTTATCAAAACAGAATGTCCCAAATTTAAATCACTCATAGCGTTCTTTGTAATTATTTAACATAGGTTAATAATGAACTAAAGAAATGGAAAGCAATCAAAATTCCTTTAATTCATGCATATATTCCGATTGGTGCGACGTTTCGAAAACATGTATAAGAAACGATTTAATAGATTGCCATTGTGAACCCGATTCGCCAACTGCTCATCAATTGTGTTCAACAACTAAATTGAGATTTAAAAACAACTTCTTTATATAAGATTGCGCGAAATACCACGGCGTTACTTTATTAAGCAAAATTTATTTAACAAAATTGAAATTAAGCGACCTGCCATGATAAACTGTGGTGGACTATTTTTTTGTGGCAGAGATTTAATGTGCCACATATGTATGCAATTGCAGGCAAATGTGGCATGCAACAGCCGTCAAGTGGGAATCAAGGCGCAAATGAAGATGTGTGAACCGAGTGCTGAACAGAACGAAGAAATTGTCATTACCGTAAGTGCGTCCCCAAACTAGGAGACAACGTCGCATATGCTACACTTAAAAATATACGCATTTGTGCTTGTGCAAATGCGTGTGAAATATAGTAATGTGTGTGTGTAAAATTAAAAATACTCGATGGGCGTTAAAATAACAAATCTTCAGCGACATATTTCTGTATCTGCCTGCGAAAGGGAGTTTCGGCGAGAAGGAGGCTGAGGTTAAAGAAGATCCCTACCAAAATGCAAAATGCTTGTGAATAAAGTGACTGCAGCTGTAGTACAACAACAACATTATGAAGGAACAATACTAAGTGCAAGAGTAAGCAAGAAGCTGATCTTCGCGCACTAAAAATTATTTGAGCAAAACTCGAGGAGGCAGCAGGCAAAACGTTGAATGAGCATCAAATTGGCGAAGGCAATGCGGTATATATGTAAGCAAGCATGTACATGTGTCACCTAGCGCAGTATATTGCAACTGAATCGTGCAATTTATGTACGTAGGGTCTCTGTGCGCCGACTCTTCCTTATGCAGATGAAGCAGCGAAGGCGAACCTGGTCCACACACACACACACATACAAACAAGGAGAATGCTCGGGCACATGAAGTGCATGAAGTATTTACAGCCAACAATCCACCATGGACCATTTAATTAAATTGTTGCCACAGCAGTCAGTGGCAGTAGCAGCAATAGCTGCGACAACAACAACAACAGACAACAAGTGCACACTTCATTGTATTTTAAATTTATGCAAAGACGAAAATAATTTCACTGCGACAATGTCAGCAACAATTGCCGCTTGCTGGTCCGCCAAAGCGACTAAACAACAACAATTTGCTGTTTTGTCTTTGCTGGGCATGGGAATGCGTCTTCCATGGTTGAAGAGGCGGTTGCGAGTTGGTGATTTTCGTTTGCGATTGCGTCGCGTTCTGAGTTGCAGAAATGTGTTGGATTTTATTGTCGTCACTGTCGTGTGCAACGTCGGAAGCTTGCATCTATTTGGTGAGCGTTCGATTTGGGCAGTGAAGAGGGCTCTTGCTTGAGAATTAAAAATTTACTTAGAATTGTTGGCATATTTGTGGGGTAGCTTCAGCACAATTAATCAACTAAATTGCACAATTAATCAAGTAAATTTGAGATATGGAATTGAAAATTAGTTATTATAGCAATATAAAGCAAATAAGATCAATTTGGGGTTCATGCTAACTAATTTTACTATACTGCTCACTACATGAAGTGTGTAAAGTATGGATCTAAATGCTACCCAACCCGTTCGTGGAATACACTAAACAAAACTAGAGAAAATTCTTTTTAAAATTTTTTCACATATAGCTCTAGGTTTTAGTATTATAACTTCTAACAAAAATTTATGTCAATCAAGCATTAATTTAGTTTATATATAGGAGATTTACATACAATTAAGACTCTAATTGCCAAAATTTCTTTAATTGCCAATTAAGGTATTCGTTTGAGTAGCCATAAAAATGTCAAAGTTATTATACCGAAGGACTGTAATCATAAAAGAAAGAGATTGGATGCGATCTTTTCCAATACATTTTGTGAATGCCTACCATTGAAAGTGCGAAAACCTTTCTATATATTGTGTTTTCAAAGTTTAATTTATGAACAAATTTTAACCGACTATATCTTTTTTAGTTAATGAATTGGCCAATGGTGGCGTATTTAATGAATTTCAGGCCGGCAATATATTCCTTTCTTAAAGGGCACACCTAGTCTGAAAGTTATGAAAAATAATTAGTCTTTATACTTTTTGCATATTTCGATAGTCTATACTATTAAAAATGTCATACTTAAATTTAAAATCGATATCTCAAATAGTTTTTTCTCAAAGCTACACTTTTCATATTTGTTTTGGTGATTTCTCGAAGACAAATGTCAGATCAGTCTCATGATATCATCAGAAAGTAGAGATTTTAACAGACATAAAGCTTACTGACATTTAAAAAATAAAATCTGATATTTTGACGTGAGTATTTTCGATTGCAAATTAGCGTTTTTACGATTTTCAGTCGAAGTAAGGTTTCCTGCTTAATATTTTAAAAACCAAAAACTAAAGTGTGTTTGGTACATAGGAAGGTAAGTTTACACCAAATTTAGTGAATTAAATTTATTTATCTAAGATAAAGATCAAAATACCAAAAACTTGGATATTTGAATTTTCCACATAAATTTTGAGGTTATGTGAAAAAGTTGTTGATACAAAAGTTGTAGATCTTTTCATTACCTACAATTTTGCCATATAAGTTTTTCCTATAGGACTCGTAATTTTGCCGGAAATCGAGTTAAATCGATTTAATTCTTAACAATTCAACCACGCCCTGCCTCTTCCCGACCTCAGATCGGCCTTCAATTATTTTTCCTTTTTTTTGGCAGTTTATCTCACGTTTCCAACGGGTTTAAATCTACTATGCATTTCTTTCATATATTACCATTTTGAAAGGTTTCTGCCATGGTCTAAAATGTGTTCATAGACATACATATCTATACGTGTACGTATATATCTTAAGTATGTATGTATAAATAAGTAAGTATAATCCACTCCCACTTTCACTTAATTAGTTGTCGAACTGCACACTTAAGCCGGAGCAAATTGCCAATGTTTCAGCCTCAATTGCTGCTCTATCATTGCAAACGGTTAGCACACACACACACACACACACACACACACACGCAAGCACGTAAATAAATAAAAACTTTGGCACATTACTTAGCAGCAGTTGTTTTTGTTGTTGTAGATTTAAAATATTTGCTATCTTCCATCACTTTGTCTCTTGCGTTGATGCCACATTTACGGTGAATTCTGGCAACGATGTTGCAACAAGCGGCATAACCGCATGCGATTGCGTAAACTAGAAATTTTTTGTTGTTGTTGTTGTTGTTTTTGTTGCCAATGCCTTTGCTATTATTACCATTTCATTGCTGTGTTTCTGGCTCATTTAAGTTATGAGTAGAGTGAATATTTCGTTGCGCATGGTTGCATGCAACAAGCGAACAGATCGCGACATGCAACATCAGCAGCGTGGCAGTTGCGTGGTGATGTTGGCATTAAATTAGCGGCCTTCTCATGCTAGTCGTTGCAGATTGTTTGTTGTTGTTGTTGTTCTTGTTTTTGTTGTTGGCTACGCAGCATAGAGAATAACAAGATGCCAACGAGTGTAAAATTGGTTTAAAAATAATTTAATTTTTTGGAGTGGCATGCAGCGTAAATGCATGAGTGTATGTGTGTCTGTGTGTGATTATGCTGCGTGCAACACTGACACTGCAGCAGCTGTTGCAGACAGGCAGCGAACATTAATGCAATAATCGCAACTAAATTTGTCATGTACGAGAGTATGCGTGTATGTGTGTGTTTGCACAAAGATTTTACGGTGTTTTCGCCGACATTTTCATTTACAGTTTCCTCCATACAATTTGTTCGTTTTGCAATTTTTTCCGCTTCTACTTTATTCGGCGTCTTCTATTGTTTATCTCAACGCTGTGGCGTTAGTTGCATGCAACGCCGCCTACACGCAGCTTTGCGTTTCACTGGCGCATTAGCGAAATTACGTTTTAAAATGCAAATTGAATTTGAAATTGAAATTGCCGAATTCGCGTCGGAAAAAAGTTTATCGTCACATTGCATCAATTAATTGCAAAATAAGCGCGCTCACACCCTCAACGGCGCATAGGTACACGCTACATGTCAACAATTTGTTGTCGTGTTGCATGTTCGCCTTAAGTTGTATTTACTTATTGATGCAGTGTTGTTGCTGTTGTATTCACATTTGCCACATTATTGACACTCAAATTTAATCTGGCGTCTAAGTCAACTGGCTTTTAAAACGCGCGGCGGCAGATAAGCAGCGCACTAGCATAGCGCGGACAAGGGCTTGCAGCAATTTCAGCTAATGTACAGTTGTGTAAGTGCACGCGTGCGTTTTGAAAAAGTATTACCGAATTGTTGCTACTGCAGCTGCCATTTGGCTGCTACTCACTGTTCATAAGCCTGCAAATCGCCTGGAAAAATCGCTTGAGAAAAATAGTTTGTTGTTGTTGCAAGCAAATAAAAAAGGAAAGCAATAAAAATCGAAAAAGTCTTATCGCGCATTTGTCACTTTACCTGACAGCGGAATTTTAACGGTTAAGTTAAGTTTCCGAGCGCGCCACACACAAATCGCTTTGAAAGTGACACTTTTTGCTGTATTTGTTGTTGTTACTGCCGCGCACTGGCTATTTACTCATTGTTTATGTGACATAGATTATGCTGTATTTAATGTACTTGTAAGTACATACATGTGTACGTTATGTTGCAAGTTGCTTGCTCACTTATTTTTTCTAAAAGTCATGCAGCGATTAACGTTTTTCACATGCAGACCAACAAGCTCATATACATATGCACACATTCCAATGAGTCACTCTATTTTCAATCTTGACTTATTTGCATAAATTTATAAGTTTATTTAATCCCCATAATTCATGTGAAAATGCGTATTTATACTTACCATTACCGTTCGCTGATTTTATTCTGCAAAAAAGTGGCAAAAGAAAGAAAAGTTATATAGTTTACAGTAATAAAGGTGATATTTACAGTTACATAAATTAATTAGTAGTACATTAATAGTTAATACTTTGGAATTATTATATGATATAATATACGAATGTTGCCGGAAAACTAAAGACTTAAGCGACAAACTTGGAATTCGTTTGAGTACAAGTTTTATTTATTTCAATTGCGCTTAACTATAACTGATAAATAATATAATATAATAATATAAAAAAAATATGTTTTTGACACAAATTTGAAAACTATTTTCTGGTTTGAATTTTTTACACCGTTCTGCACTTTTCGTCATTTAATTTATTTTGTAATAGTTATTTAATATTATTATGAATAATTATGAATAGCTCTGGTGCATTGTGATAAAGTCAGTTTCCATACACACTCACTAAACTTTGAAAATTTATATATTGAATTGTATTTCAAACATAAATTTTTCGAGACTTTCTTTTGTTCTAATGTTAGAAATTATTTTAAAATAAAAAAAAAAGTCTTCATGAGTGGAATATTGTGATATTTTAGTTTCAATCTCATCGCAGCTTGCTCATATAGTCCCATATGCTAACTGCTATATCTATTCTAGTACTATTTGAGCTAATCAACAGCAAGAAGAGTAAAGCTTCTTGATATAACCTAACTTTTTTACCAACATAACCTAATTTACATTGTCGCTTTTTTCGTTGAATCGAATACGACTAATAGCTGTCGGAATACAGTCATGCATTCTCTTTTTTTACATATAGGATTTGTAATTTATAATCTAACAATTAAGGAATGACAAAGTTCGAGTGTAAGCGAACATTTCATAATCTTGTAACTTGCAAGGGTCAAAGCTGGCTAAATAACTGTAAGTGTTGTTAGTATTAAAAAATATAGCGAAAAGGTTCAACTTCATTGTTTGACAAAATTGTGAATGGATAAAAAATAAGTTTGGTGTCACATGACTTACTTATTGTGTTTTATTAATATATTTTACTTTCCGTCAGCGAAAATTATACTAAAGTCATTTGGGGCGGGCATAGAAATGGAAGCACTGATTGCATTAATTTTTGACAGCAATTTTATAAATCTATAAATATAAATATATATACGGGGTAAAGCTAGCCGGACGTTTACAATTTTATCCATTTTATACACAAAGATATACTCACTCAATTTCATTAAAATAACTACTACATTGGCCGATATAGGTGGTATAAATTCAAGTTCAATAAACTTTATATTAGGTATATGGAGACTAAGGGAAGTATTGATTCAACTCATTTTTGACACAAGGGTGTATTATTATGAGAGAAACATTTTCCCCTAATTCCAATAGTATATCTCACAGATTGACTGATAATTCCGGCTAAAAGTCAGCCATATGCACTGGGGTCCATATTACAAGTATTATTATATTATATTATTAGGTTCTTAAAAACTGATGGCCCGATTGTGACAGTACCTTGAGGACATTATTTGTACAAAGCTTTATTCGAATACATTGATGGGCTCTTGATTTGTATACTGGAATGTGAAAGAATCAGATGGAATTTAAAATTTTGTTATATAAGAAGTAGGCGCAGTTTTGGTCTGATTTCGCCTATTTTCACGCTGTAATTTGGAAATGTCAGGGTACTATTACATACAGAATTTCATTAAAATCGGTAGAGTAAGTCCCGAGATATGGATTTTCCCCCTAAATGTGAGCGGTGCCACGCTCATTATAGTTTTTGAAATTTTAAGATTCAATTGAATACTACCCACATTCATATAATGTATAATTCGTCATTATAACGTCTCACTCGGAATGGCAAATCACACTAAAACCATACATAAGTGAGTCTACATTCTTTTTTTTTAGCTTATAATAAAAATCGCCGCCTCTAGAAGCACCGACGAGCGCCTCTATAAATACCAAACACTACTACAGCACTCATTTACCAGATAATGTCTAAATTAAAAAATTAAAGCAAATTGCCGCTTTATCTCAAAAGTTAAAATTCTTTTGCTGCTACCAGAAACGCTTTCATAAAATTGTTCAAGTAATTTCGTAACGCCGTTAACAGGAACAGACATACGAAACACTATGTAATAAATTCGTCAACTGCAAATAGCAAACTGTGGTCAGAAAATCATCAAATCGGATAAACGTTTTCAACTCTAAATGACATCAAATTACAAACTTAGATTGGCTGTGAAATTGCAAACGAAGAAAAAGCAAACAAACGAGGCAAAACAATACAGAAATTTAAAGTAATAAAGCGGCAGTGTGATATAGAAGCAAACCAAACAACAACAATAATAACAAAAGCGATAAAACTAAACTGAAATGAAGTGAAGTAAAATGAAGCAGAAAGTAGCTGCGTTGTGCGGCTGTGAAATGTTTATGACGTTTCCATTTGCGTAACAACAGAATTGCATTTGCCACCACCAACAATAATCGCAAAAATACTTTGTTTACAACTTAATGTGCGACGATTTGAGGCGATTGCTGTTGAGTCTAACGAAATAGAAAAACCTGTGAAATGACCAAGCAATAAGCGACTGTATTGGACGAGTATATTTATCTATGTATATGTAGGATGCATGAGTACGAGGAAGGAAGAGATTCGGCTGCATGTAGACATTTTTTTAAAAAGCAAATGGGATAAAAACTGAGAGTTTTCTGCATTGTTTTCATATCTACTTTCTATATACACAGTTAAGACGAGCGCTGCTGGAGAAATACACATAATTTAAGTCCTCGAACTTTTAAGTAAGTTACTTTCAAAGCAAGTATGTGATAGCTTTTATGTAAGCTTTGCTGAAACTTTTTGGGAGCTTTTCTGACTAATCAAATGATGAGCGCTAATGGCATTTAGGGCTCAACTTTATATATAAACATATATAATTTGTTAACGCTTATTGGCTTCTTATTGCGGAAAAAGTTTTTGAAATCAAATAATTCTTTTCATTGGAGTTTATTAAAGACAAAAGCATATACTCAGCTTTTTGACTGTAAAAGCATTTTATAGTGAGGTTCGATAACCAATTTTGAACGAATTTTCTCATAATGCTTAGTATGTAGGGTATGCAGCATCCGTTGTTAAGCTTTTTATATGAACAATTTTTTACATTTCAGTTTTCCACCTTTGTTAAGAAGCTTTTTAATTAATTTAAATTCCACCGATTGGTAAGGATACGACGATAGACCTAGTTATGACAGCAAAAATAACAGATTATACTATTGGTGCAGCCCGTTACTTCCCTTCTTGTAGATTTTTTAGGCTATAGTTTTGATAAACAGGAAAATACGTTAGATACGGTTGTACTAAATCTAGAATATCCTTCATGTGTGCAAAATTTCAGATCGATATCTCAAAAACTGAGGAACTAGTTAAAGTCTATAAAGTCAGTTAGACAGACGGACATGACTCAGCTCGCAACGCTGTTCATTTATATATTATAAATGAGAAAAGTCTTCGACCTTTTCCTTCGGGTGTTACAAATATTGTGGAAAACTTAATATGCTCTATTCAAAGTATACAAAGATATATAACCAATCTAAAAAGAGTATAGTGAGTTTTAATACCAGGAATGATAGTTTGATGATATTTTGTCGTTTATTTTTTACCAATCTCGCTGAATTCTGGAGAAAACTGGGTCATTTTATCTAGCATGTTATTGTCACTCGCTTCCAAGATAATAGGGCTCTCGGAATGATTTTATGAAACACTCTGTTACTGGGCGATGTTTATTTTTATGACATTGCGCCAAAAGGTAGGCAATACTTCCTATGCCATCTCAAGCCAATGTTATCAATGCGAGCTTTTACTAAAATAAATTTTAGTTGATCATAATTTGTATCAAAACACTTTTTAGGTTTTTCCTTTAATTTCCCTTTTCATATGTATCAAAATGACCTCGTATCTATTTGACAACTACAACAACTATATTTGCGGCGAAAAAGGTTTTGTAGCAAATGCATACCGAAGAAAGGTTTGGTCCAGCTTGCGAAATTGAATCGCAAGTAGAAAGGAAGGTGAAGTTGCACTCAACGAAATGCAAACCGAAGTGATTTTCCAGCAGCAGAACAAACAAAAAAAGCGTAAAAAACGGCAGGCAACAAAGTGAAAGAAAATGTCGCCAGCTGCCGACTGCTGATGTTGGTAGCAAATGAGATTTGCACTATTTATGGCTGCTGTGCCACAATTGCGGCGGACAAGTCGCAAGTAGTGCAGCTGAAATACATATTTACCTATTTGTGTGTGTGTGTGTATGAGCGTATGTGTGTGTAGCAGGTGAAACAGGCACAACTCAGCGCAAGTCAAATAAAAATGTCAGTTAAATAGACCGAAAAGAAGAGGGACGCCAAAGCGCTGCTGAGTGTGGCTGTGGCAACTATGTTGACTGTTGTTGTCATTGTTGTAGCTGTTGCTGCCTGAAGGAACAAAAGCGGTTAACGGCGGCTAAAGCGGTGTCTAAGCAGCTGAAGTTAAATTATGTTACAAAGCTTCTCACTTTGTTGCCGCTGGTGATTTAATTACGTTGCACAAGTGTTTACCTTGATAAGCGTGCATGCATGCCACATACAACAACACACGTAAGCTTGTGAACTTACCTATATCCCGTTTGTGTGCGCCACAACAATAGTACTTGACGCTGATGCTTTTGTTGCCCGCTTTGTAGTCGCGTTTAATGGCATTTTTGCGCGCTTACCAACTGACATTGCGCAAGTATGTGGCAAATAGAATAAAGTTAAATGGAAATTTTAATTGCATTGCATTTCATCTTGTTTGCTAGAATTTTTTCGCTTTCCACTTTCCACGAGCACAGCATTGCATTGCATTTGTGTTAGTGGATGCTTGAACTCTCAACTCTGAATGCCAGTTGCCACACTTTCATTTGCTTTAGCAAATATATAATTTGCGCTTCAATTTAAGTGAAATTCATTTAAACTCAACCCGAAATGAGCGTACTAACGGACTGAATGAATAACTGTAGTT